TGCCCTTTCAGTTTCCCTTCTTTCATTTATTAAGTAGATTTTTTTCATAATATCCTTCTAATTATATGACAAGATAAAAAACAGTCCCCCTTAGTTTTAGGATTAGAGGAATGAGGAGGAGAGACAAAGATAAAGAGAGAAAACTGAAAAAGTTTTTGAGCACAAGAAAGAGGGGTCATATTTTCCCAAAGCTTTCTGTAATAAGTTATTAGTCTCATATACAAATCTACCTATCATATAGTGTGGAAGGCTCTTCTAGAAGCAAAATACTTGTCAAGACAAGTAAAAGTAAGCTAGTGTGTTTCCTTCCTCTGAAAATGTAGCCATTTATATAATTTTAGACATTTTAATGTCTCTGCACATAATTTATATATGTGTGCATAATTCTAAAATTGTTAGGAATTATGTCAGCGTTTGTGATTTCTAGACCATCTAACATGTTGTGGTACTAAATATGTAGTTTATAGCCTTTTGTTCTATTTAGTAGTACTTTTATTACACAAGCTAATATCAATCTAGGAAAATAAGAAGTTAGCATATATATGTTTTCAGTCTCAATTACATGTGAAGTCAGTTTATTCTTCTCATTTTTGGCTATAAATAGTATAGTTTTCACTTGAAGAATGTGTTGTCTCAGACAGTGTTGCAAATACAGTCCCCTATGTATCAACTGGTTACATCCACAGATTCAACAAACCATGCATTGAAAATATTTGTGGAAAAAAACCCAATAAAAAGTAATACAGAAAACAATATAGTATCATAACTATTTACATAGTGTTTACATTGTATTAGGTATTATATGTAATCCAGAGATGATTTAAAGTACATGGAAGGATATACATAGGTTATGTGCAAATACTATGCCATTTTTTTTTTGAAAGCAGGATTTATTGAGAGGACAGAAAAGCTCCCACAGTGGGAGGGGACCCGAAGGGGTTGCCCACTATGCCATTTTTAATGATGAACTTGTGCATCTGCAGATTTTTGTCTCCACTGGCTTCCTAGAACTAATCTTGCAATTACCGAGGGGTGACTCTAGTATATTTTCTAAATTTGAAAAATTTTATTTAAACAAATTAGTATCTTTGGACCACAGAGCGCAAATACACAGAGCAAATATTTAGAATTGTTAGGGCATATAAAGTATTTTGTTCTTCAACACCAATAAAAATATGGGAAGAAGTGTACTTCAGTTTAAGCCCCTGAAAATTAAAAGGCTTGGAGTTTAGAGTCTTATTTCTAAAGATAACTTGCTTTCTGTCCCCTGGAGATCCTTTTTTCCCCCCCTTTTTAATTTCTTCAACAAAAAATAACATGAATAAGCATAATAAATTACTTATGGATTATGATTGATACTTCTAAAGTATATATGTGGTTACATGGTTTTATAGGCCCGAATCTTGCAAAAAATTCTGATCCATTCTAATTCTTTAGATTATTAAAGAAAATAAATTGTAGAAAAAAGAGCCTTTCTGAAAACTGCTATAAGGATCCCAGTTGCTAATAGGAAAGCAGTTACTAACTCAGGTTACCTACAGGATGCAGATGAATGAATATATTATATTCCCTAACTGACTCACTTGAGAACTTTTTTTTGGTCTCTACTCTTATTAATAGAATGAGAATTAAATGGTAACCCAGGACACTTGAACATTGTAAACGTTCACCTCCTAGCAAGATCTCCTAGAGAAATAAACATTTTATCACCCTGAGGCTTTGTCATCAAAAAACACATTAGAAATAAAGATAGACTTAGGCCAGGCACAGAGGCTCACGCCTGTAATCCCCGGCATTTTGGGAGGCCCAGGAGGGAGGATTTGAGACGAGGCTTTTGAGACAAGCCTGGGCAACAAAGTGAGACCCTGTCTCTAGAAAAAATGTTGTTGTTTTTGTTGTTGTCTTTAATTAGCTGAATGTGGTAACTTGCACCTGTAGTCCCAGTTTCTCAGGAGGCTGACGTAGGAGGATCACTTGAACCTGGGAGTCTGAAGCTGCAGTGAGCTACTCCGGCCCAAGCAGTAGAATGAGACTCTGTCTCAAAAATAAGTACATACTTACATAAATACATAAAAAGAAATAAATGTAGACCTAACCTCATTGGAGGTTGCTTTAGCCACGTTTACTGCTGGAGTGGGGCCTAGAATTAAAAATGACTGGAGGACTGTCTTCTTCTTATACTCTCAGTCCACAAGTAAGTGGTCTGATTACTATGAAATAAGTGAAGTCCAGCCAGCCAACGAAGAAAACAGGCAATTAGGAGATGTATATTTACAGTAAGGGCTAAGGAGTAAGAGAGTTTGTCCCAATTCCTGGAGCAAAGCTGGCCTAAATTCTGTTCCAAGCTTTCTCAGTTCTTTTTCACTTGGTGCTTGGAGGGATGGATTTGCAGTGCAAGGCAGTTTGCTCCAACGTCTAGAGTTACCCACCCAATCTTACCAGGTCACCAGTTGCAACTTTTGAGAAGCAGTACAGCTGCTTAAACTGCATGGCATAGAGAGTAGAGAACATAAGAAGAGTGCTTTTAGTCCTCTATTTAATGAAGCAAGACAGAAGATAAAAAAGAGAGGAGATGAGATACATTAAGATAGACCCTGCTTCCATGAATGAATAGGCGTAGAGCATATATTTTTTGAAGGGAAATTGCAAAATGTGACACTCGAGAGTCAGGTATGCCATGCTCTTGGTACTCATGGCTGGTAAATTGGTCCTGGATCCTGACCACACTAGAGCAATGTGCCTGCACCTTGCTCATTGGAAGGGAAGGTATATGTTTTTTCTTTGTGAATGCTTATCCACGTCCATGAGATGCTCAAATATTTGAAATCTATGAATTCTTTAATAATGTTATTTCCTATCATTTTTCTCAAAGAGATTAATTTGTACTGATTGGGTGAAAGTTGATCAGTGGAAATAAGGCCCTAATAATAATCATAGAAAGTGGTGACATGCTCACTGAAAAAGTGACTATGCCGTGAAGAGCAGCCCTTCACGCATCCTAGCTTGGACTCTTTTTATCCAGCTTAGCTCTGGTGTCCAGGGTTTGCCTTTGTATTTTCCACCCTGAACCCAGTCATGCAAGCAGCATCACAGTACAGGTAGGCCACCTTTGGACCCATGCTGACATCTTCATTGTTCCTCATGGCTGTCAGGTTCCTACTCTCTCTTACCTCCTAGAATGTTGGTATCAGCTGTGGAAAGGACATTGGATGTCCTACCTGATAGAAAGGTAATGGGGAGAGAAAGCCCAAATGTCTGTTCTGAAATTCTTTGTTCATCATATAGTCAACGTGTTCCTGTTAAAATTGCTTAGATTGCTTAGGCATTGGCCATAAAGTGAAATGAACTCTTTGAGTATCTCTACAGTAATATAGAGATGTGATCTTTTATAGAAGTAATAAGTGTGGTAGTAGTTTGGAGGATCTTGTTTTTATAAAAAAAATGTTTGAGGAAATGTATTAATGAAAGAGGTTTCACAACACTTTTTAATTTTAAGTTTTAAAAAATTAATATGCATACATAAATGTTTACAAATCCTAAGTATATGGATGAACCAAAGATTTGGAGTCTTTTGTTTTTCGGTTTCTTCCCATGAGGCAAGGCCAACTAACAGAAGATCTCTGCGTCTTTTAGTTAAATGAACAATCCTAAAACCCTACTGTATCAACTATATAATTTTGAGATTTTCCATGTAGGGGTTTTGCTTTGGCTATAAAATGTTACTATCTCACTATTAGCCTTTTCAAAAAAAACAAACTATTGTTTTTAGCTTTTGGGTCTCTTTCTTAGTCAGCTATAGGTATACATATAGATTCTATATATAAATCAGTTATCGCAGGTTGAATTATATCTCATTAAATCACGATTATAAGTTAGGATTTTCATCGACAAGTTCATGAGTCTTGGAAGCATAGCATAGCTAAAACCCTGTGTTATTCTCTGTATAACATCACTTATATACCTTCGTCATCTCATAGCTCTCTAATAAGTCTAGTTTTAAATTTATTTAATGCTTACTGCCTTGACTTTAAAAAATGTTAAAGTTAACTGCCAAGTCTTCAAAACATTGCTTTTATTTTTCCCACTGTTCAAGAATTTTCAATAACTCCCTGTTGTCTACAGAACAAGCCCGTCTGCCTCAGTCTGGCATTGAAGTCATTATATTCTGTCTACAAACTTATTGCTTGACTTTGTCTCTTACTATTCCTTCCTTCCCTCCTCAGCAGTACACACTAAATTATACTTAATGGGAATGTATCAGCCTACCTTAGAGAACTCTTGATGAAATACTCCTGGTTTTACTTTGTTTTCTTTTAAGTGTATATATTAAGTCCAATTAGGCTGATAAACCTCCTGCTCCTTTCTGACTGTTCCTATCATTTTGTGTGTGTGTGGTGTGTGTGTGTGTGTGTGTGTGTATTTCACACTTCTGCCATCTTTAGAATGACTTCTTCTCTTTGGTCAATTCCAATAATACAGTCATGGCTTGGTTCAAGTCCTTTTTCATAAAGCCCTCCCCAAGATTAATATAGCTATCTGTAAGTATTTTCTTCCTCCTTAGATACTTGGCACTCTTTTCCTGTAATACACTGAACGGTAATACATATTGCCTTTTTACATTAGTTATAGTTTTTTATTGATATTTGATTATCTAGTTTTCCTTGTTTTATACTTTCTTTCTCAGACTATTAAAATAATCTGAGGGCAAAGACTTGTCCTATATATTGAGAGATGTGTATATGTGTGTGTCCATAGATATGTATACACACATCCTAGGTGTGTATAGTGTGTGTGTGTGTGCGTGTGTGTGTGTGTGTGTGTGTATGTGTATGAGTATATATGTGTGTGTGTGTATATATATATATATATATATATATATACACAAACTACATTTATAGATGGGTGTGTACATACAAACTATATGTAAATATCTATATATATATACAAGCATAACTATTTTATTGATGACTAATATAATTTGGATATATTTTTTGAAACAGCTTTACAATGAGTTACATATTTGTTTTGAAACCACAAAATCAAATGAAGCTATGCTCCGGCAAAGTGTTGTTAATCTTCAGGATCAGCTATTTCAAAAAGAGCAAGAAAATGCTAAGTTAAAAGAAAAACTTCAGGAATCACAGGGAGCACCTTATCCTTTACTGCAAGAAAATGATTCAGATTACTCAGCACAGGTGAGAGATATTTTCTAAAAATGTTGCAATATCAAATTAAATACTATAACAGACTAAAATGTAAACATTTAAATAAATTAACATATATTGGAGTATAAAAAGTGTGCAGATAGTTTTGTGTTATAACTGTGTTTTTATATTTTTTGTAGACATGAATATTAGATACAGTACAGATTCATATAGAAATGCATGTAAAAATGCAGGGTATTGCAAATATAGTTCATGTGATTAATGATTTGGCTGATAATATGTTTTTGAAGAGCAAATTAATAGCTCATGCCCATTTTGAGACTTTCTAATTGAATGAGGTAATGGAATAGAAAGAATATCTAACAGTCTCATATAGTATTTGCCATAATGTCTGGTATATGGTACTTAATATCTTATTAGTCCTTATTCTGTCACTGTCTTGATGTGTGATTTTGGACAGGTCATTTAACCTTTATATTTCTTGTGGTAAATGATGGGAGTGTAAATATATAAATATGCAGGATCTGGATTCAAATAGACCTGAGATTAAATTACAGCTCTACCTATGAGCTTCGTGTACTTGAACAAGTTTCTTAACCCTTTTAGTCAAAACTTCCTCATAGAAAAAATATTAGTGGCATCTATGTCATAGAGTTTTGTGAGGATTAATGACATAGTATGTATCAAGTGCAAAGCTTGGCATCTAGAAAAATGTCAAATGGTACCTTTCTAAGATAATCTTCAAGGCAACTTTCAGCTCTAAATATCTTTTTTAAAAATATTGTTTTTCCACAAGTTAATTTACATGGTTTAAGGCATTCTTAGCATTTCTATAAGTTTTAGAATTTATTAATTCAGAAATGGAATTAACACAAGCAGGTAATTAGGTCCTAAAGTGTTTAATAATGCTTCTTCAAGATTAATGCTGCTTTTGAACCCAGCACATTTGTCTTGCTACAACCCATTCTTAAGATGATTTTTCAATTTGTATTGCATTGCATTTTTTGGACTTTAAATGCACAGAATTGGATTAATCATAAAATTTATGCCATGGTATGCTGCTATGTTACATGCATATGCCTATTTAATTTAATTTAATTTAATTACTTTGTTTAGTTTTTTATTATAATAAACACCGTTGGTCCCCCCGAGCTCACTCAAGCACTAGAACATTACTAATGACTTACATTTACTTGTATGTTCCTCCCTTATCTGGTACTCTTATTCTCTCACCAGAAGTAACCATGAAGCTTTTGATCATTTTTACAACATTTTAAAAAAAATCACATGCAAACTTATGAGGACACAATGTATTGTTTAGGTTTGTCATTTATAAAAATGGTATAGTATGTTGAGTGGGATTTGGCAATTTTGACTCATTATGTTAACCAAAATTCAACTATGTTTTTTGATATAACTTTAAAATTTTCACTGCTTTAAAACATTCTAATAAGTGAATATATCATAACTACTTGTACATGCATCTCTAGATGAGTGCTTTGGTTATTTTTAGTTTTTTTTGCTATTATGAATAGTTTGTAGCTGACATTTTTGCTCATGATTCTTGATGTACATGTGCATGCATTTTTGTGGGTTATATATCTAAGAATGGAAATCCTAGATTGGAGGGTTTGAAGATACTACTTTTATAAAATACTGATAACTTACTTTTTAAAGTAGTTTTATCGCTTTTACTCCTACCAACAGTGTATAAGAGATCTGGTTGGAGATTCTCAGGAAAATGGCTGTGAAGCCAGTAGGACTAAGTGAGTCCCAGTGTGGGTGAGTGAGTGTATGGAAAATTTTGCATGCGTGTCAGTGAGTAAGTGGGCGTGTGAGTGGCTGACTGAATATGGACTTGGGAGCAAGTGGCCAGGGCTCTCCTGGTGAAGTGGCTGGTGCCGCACCTGCTTATGCTTGGTCCCTAGTGCTTCCTGGAGCACAGAAGCTGAGTGCCATTTAAAAAAAATCAACAAAGCCCTTTTTGGGAAGAAGCTGCCAGGGGAGACTGCCAGCTCCAGGCTTTGCCTCACCACTGCAGCACCTGACCAGACTCTGGCAGCAATGACTGTCGAGGGAGGACAGCGAGGGAACCCAGAGGCAGAGCCCCACTAGAGAAGATGAAAGATGCATTGTGCCACCATCTTGAAAACTGGGCAGGAAAGTGCTCTGCTTTGCTCATCACAGAGTGACCCGACCTAATCTCTGTGACTGGCAGATTAACTACTGAGGGGTTGATCATGACCCAGAGGGAATATCCTGAGAGCACAAACTCTGGAGGCACAGGACATTTGCTGAGTTTCAGGCACTCGACCTTCTGCCCTGACTTATCTGTGGGGCAAAAGGTGTGGCCAGAAAAGGATGAAGAAGATTTCCAAAGAGATCAGTGGTGAGTCTGGGGCTGACCCAACCCCCTCTTCCCCAGTAATCCTCTGAACCTCAGATCTACATGACTGGGCCATGACTAAGAGGGATGAACTCAGGTGGAGCTTGGATGTCAGCTGCAATAGGAAGACTCCACTCAAGGTTAAGCCTGGCTGGGGCATCCCCCACCAGTACCTGGGGAAGAGACAATCCTGCATCTCTCCACCAGAAGGGATCTCCCTAACCATACTATAATGGGAGGAGAGGACTGAAGCCCCACCCACTCCCGCTGCCCCTCTTCCTTCCCTGGGCTGGACACTGGGGAGATTGTGAATGAGGAGGAAGCTCTGCAGGAGACAGCAGAGAGGCAGCTGAGAAGAACAATTACAGAACCTGCCACAAGGGGACAGGTTCTTTTGTTTTTTTGTTTTATACTTTTCCTTTGTACATGAATGTGTATGTGAGGAATTGATCTGCATCCCGCCATCCCTTTTTATTCTTTTTTTCTTTCTTCTTTCATTTTTGTTTTCTGTTTATGTGTGAATGTGAAGGATTGAGTGCTCATCTTTCAGGGTTTTTTTGTTTGTTTGTTTTTTCTTTTTTGTTGTTTTTTTAGTTTAATGTGTGTATGAATACGTGTGTGAGGGTTCAATTTGAATTCCTTTTTTTTCTTTTCTTTTTTATTCCTCTCTTTCTTCTCCTTTCATTTTGGGTTGGGCGTGTGTATGTGTTTGGTTTTCCGGTTTTTTATTGTTGTTTCTTGTTTTGTTTTGCCTTGTTGTTATTCCAGTTTGTTTTGGAGTGTGTGTGTATGTGTGTACTTGTTTTTTGCTTTGGTTTCTGCTCTTGTTCTTTTTTTAAAAAATTTTGTCTGTCTTATTTCATTCTGTTTTTCTCTGTTCTTCTCACTGCTGTTACTGTATCTTGGACTTGGCGTATATGCATGTACTCATTGATTCATCATATAGAGTGGTGGTGGGGAGTGGGTCCAGGGAATCCATACCACAATCAGTGAACATTGTGATTTGCAAGTAGTTTCTGAATTCTAGTTCACCATACTACATCTTCTTTGACTCTCAAAACTACAAGAGACAGCAGAACTTCCCACTCACTACCCTGTTTCAAAATAGAACAAATTCAGAGCCCTGATCATGGAAGAACAGAGGGCTGAGCAAACATCAAAAGTGAGTCTCTCCCACTGCCACTGAATAATGGAACTAAGGAAAAAGAAAGAGATCTGTCACAAATAAGGAAAAATCAGTGGAAGAACAGATAATTCCCAGTGTTACAAAGGGAAAACACCTGAAAAATCAGGTCTCAGAGCCTAAACAATGGAAATCACCATGGACTGGCCCCAGAATACAACAGGGATTAGGGAATGAATGGAAAGAGTGAATAAGACTCAAGAGAGACAAGATGCAGCACTGAAACAACTTGTAACAGAGATTTTGGCTATAAAAAATTTAATCCAGGAAATAAATAAGATGACAAGCATGGAAAGCAGAACTAAGCAGATGAAAGAATCTGAGAACTTGAAGATCAAAACAGAGAATTAACCAGATCTGTAAAAACATAGAAAGAAATGCAGGAGACACCCTTACGGAAATTGGAACTGGCAACCAATTCCTGATCAAAACCCCAAGTGCCCATGCCATAATGATAAGATAGACAAGTGGGACCTCATCAAACTGACAAGCTTCTTTAAAGCCAAAGAAACCATCAAGAGAGTGGGGAGACAGCCTACAGAATGGAAAAAATATTTGCCAACTGTATATCTGACAAAGGCCTAATATCTAGGATCTACAAGGAACTCAAACATGCTGAAAGAAAAAAAAAATTCCCATTAAAAAGTGAACAAAAGACATGAATAGACACTTCTCAAAAGAAAATATATGGTCAGCCAACAGACACATGAAAAAATGCTTAGCCTCACTAATCTTCAGAGAAATGCAAATCAAAACTACATTGAGATACCACCTAACCCAAAATGTTGGCTCCAGGTTTGTCACACATAGTTCTTATTGTTTTGAGGAATGTTCCTTCTATGGCTAGGTGTTTGGGGGTTTTTATCAAGAAGGGATGCTGGATTTAATAAAATGCTTTTTCTACATCTAATGAGATAATCATATAGTTATTTGTTTTGCACCTGTTAATGTACTGAATTACATTTATAGTCTTGTGGATGTTGAACTAGCCCTGCGTCCAACTGGAATGAAGCCCACCTGGTTGTGGTAGATAATCCTTGAAATGTGCTGTTGAATACAATTTGCTAGAATCTTGTTGTTCATTCGAGAAACTAACCTGTACTTCTCTTTCTTTGTTGGGTCTTTGCCAGTTTTGGGGTATCAGGATGATATTGGCTTCATAAAATGTGCTAGGGAGAAATTTTTCCTTTCATTGCCTGGAATGCCTTCAGTAAGATTGGTATCATCTCCTTCTTGTATGTAGAATTCAGCTGAAAACTCTTCTCATCCAGGCTTTTTTTAGCAAGGAGGTTTCTTATAACTGAGTTGATTTTCTGTATTGTTATTGGTCTGTTTAGGGTTTCAGTATCTTCTTGTTTCAACCTTGGGTGGTTGTGTGATGCCAGGAAAACCTCCATTTACTCTAGGTTTTCTAGCTTATTTGAATACAGATGTTCATAGTAACCTCTGATACTCTTTTGA